TCATAATTTTTGTATATCAACTGATGTGGCACGTGAGTTTTTAGGTTCGTTTAATTCGTTGATTCGAGTTTTTAATTCGAGTTGAAATGTGACTTTATGTGTGAGCTTTTTACTGTAGCAAAAAAGTTAGATGTGACTGTTTCTGAGAGCTTTTTACTGTAGTAAAACTCGAATTCTAAACTCGAATCAATGAAATGAATAGGCTTATCTTTTTATTGGTAAATATTATCTTTTATCATTAATTGGCGTGCTAATGTTTTAAGCAACCACCAATGTAAAAATGACAACTCATATACCACATCAGTTAGTATACAAAAAGTTAAGATTTTAATTGGTGTCTCTAGCATTATTCATGTGGGAAAAATTAATAAAAATTAGTTTATTGGTATCCTGTGTTTTTTTTCCTCAATTATTTGAGAGGTGCCTCGTTGTGTTGAAAATATTAAAATGACACTACTGTAATATAAAAACTTACAAGCCAAGAACCTTTTTCCTTTTTTTTTTTTTTTGTTTTGTTTTGGACATAGGGTGTCCTTTTGGCCTTTTCAATCCAAATGTTGTTCCAAAAAAAAAAAAAAAAAAAAAAAAAAAAAAAAAAAAAAAAACTTCTTTTGTTAATATCTAATTATATTACTAAAACTTCTTTCAAGACACGTTTTATTAAATATGTTAATAAATGTTGAAAAACTTTGGGGTTGTTCTTTTGCATTTTTGAGTTATGGTGATTTGAGTGATGATTTTGAGTTGAGTTTGAGTTATAATTTGAGTTGAAGTTGTAACTTGAGTTTGTATTTGAATGTGCACATTTGAGTTATGATTTGAATTGAGAATTTTTTTGAGTTTGTGTTTGGGTTGGTCAAAACTTAAATTTGTATTTAGATAGTATTTTAATAAAAACTCAATGGTGATGAAAAATTTTAATAGGGTATATGAGTGGGGTTTTATTCGTCTTTTCGTTGTGAATGCATAGAAAAAAAAATCATCTCAATAAGAATTAAAACGAAAAAGTTATGGCATTTTTAAGAATAGAAAAAATATTATTCATCAATTTGAGTTTGAGTTTCTGAACTCGAGTTGAAGGGAAAATTGGAACTCGAGTTTAGTCCCAAACTCGAGTTTAAATTCGAGTTCAAACTCGAGTTCAAACTCAAATTTTACAAAAAAATATGAACTTAAATAAAGTTGTAACTCGAGTTTAAACTTTTTCTAAATTTTGTTGCAAAAGAACAACCCCTTTATTGATCAAGTTCGATTATCAGCACAGGCGAGTTTCGCGCATTTTTAAGTTTTGAGTTTTAACCGACTGTCAAGACATTACTGTAAGTTGACAGCTAGAAATTTGTGTTGAAATCAAAATGAAGATTATCTACAGCTTATTGGCTCCAATGTTAAAATGAATTAAGAGCTGAATTTCAAATTTCATATTGGATCAAGATCATATATAACCCTAAGCCAAATGGAATGTATTTACACCTTTCTTATATCTAGGCCTTCACTTATTTAAGGAGTTTAAAATTGGAGCTCTTGTATTTAGAGTTTTAGAGTGAGGAAAACCCAAAACATTTTCTAGGCTTAAGCTAATCCTCAAACTCTGATGTCATAGTGTATTGATCAATCCGAAATATGCTTGAGGAGGAGTCGTAGGCGGGTTGTGCTCGGAGTAGTACGTTAGTTGGACTTTGAAGGTGAGATGTACGGTTCCTGAGAGATTTTTTGTCACGTTAAATAACCATATCACCGAGTCAATATTACTTTTTGATTATAGTTATTCGTTTTCTGCAAATTTTTAATTGTCACTACAAGGTTATTTAGAGTCTTTTATTTTGCACACAGAAAGATATTTTTGCTCTGTTAGGTCTAAGAAATATCGTTGTTATTATTATTATTATTTTTTTAAACCATAGGGAACAAGAATATGGTACAATACTTTCAAATATAAAAATTCATGGAGTACCATTTTGTTATTTGTTCAATCAACAATTTAATATGGAAATATAAAGTTTATTATCAAGCAACGTTATATTTTTTTTAAGACCTGTTTTTATTTTAAATTTTATACTTATTTGTGCCCCTTCTGTCACTGCTTCAAAAGCTTAATCCCACAAACCCACAACTCGATCGACCAGAAAAAGAAGCAAAATTAGCAATTCCACATGGAACTCATGAGAACTGTAATTTGTTACATCATAATGTGGACGAGTTCCAGTGCACATCACAATAATATTGTTTGAAAAAAAAAAAAAAGAACAAAACTGTTTGCAATTGCACTAAAAACAAGTTTCATTCGCTTTTCAAGATTAACTATATATTAAATTGTCCATCAATGACAAATTTTCTAAGATGAAGTTAAACAATCCTTATTTTTTAATATGTCTGCTAATGAATGCTAATTAACAACTTGACTCATTTTTCTTGAATTTAACTAATATTTTACCAATACTTATTAGGTTTAAGGAGAAAATTGCAAATTAATTAAAATAATAAAGGGGTGTGGTTTACCTTTTTTTTTTTTTTTTTTTTCCTGTCGTTTGAAACACAAAACTGCTATCCATAACACCAGTGTCCGGAACTCTACGTTATACCAAATGTCTTCCTTTTGTAATCTTTTTTCTTAAAAGTTGGTTCTCCAACATGTAATTAATTCTATGATATAACTAGAACATATTTTTCTAAACCGTACGTTCAAAAGCGACAATGAATATATAATCTTTTCTTTTTTGTTTTTGACGAATCTTTATAAATCATAGTTTTTTTTTTTTTTTTTTTTTAGAAATACATAGTTAGTGCTTGTTAAACGATATAAAAATCATGCGTCAAAATAATGTATCTAATTGAAAAAAAAAAAAAAAAAAGTAAGGTGGCCATTGGCCACCAGGCCATCACAATAAACAAAATTCTGAAAGTATCCAAAGAAAATTCCAGGAACTATACTCGATATATAGTAAAGAATTTCTATTAATATAGAGGTATTGTAGAGGAATGATATTTATGATATATCTTTGGCCTGTTACTAACCTTAATAAAATCATATATCTAAAGTTAAATGTAACTATATTAAACGTCAAAAAACATATAGAGTTACAGTGCTAGATAACAACAATTCTACTATTCTTGTACCATTTCAGTAACAAGTACATTTTACAAATTGTGTTTCGGTGGGATGGTCCAGCACAACATGACACGACACTATAATTACCATTGTGACATGAGCATAACCAACATTACATGATCACAAATAATAACAAACAAACAAAAAAGTAAAGAAAAAGTTTTATTTTAGGAAGTTATAGGATGATCTTTTGAGTATATTTAACAATGCAGCTTCTGAGGATCAAAAGAGTCTCCCTAAAAAGTCCATCTTCACCATTAGAAAAGTGTTTAGACCAGCAAATTGGTGAACCGTCCTAATTATTTCCATAGATTACGTCAAATCTCAAATCCTTAGCTTTGCTTGATAAATTGAATTATGATAGTTTGAATGTTGATCAGATGGATGATGATGATGATGATGATGATGATGATAATAATAATAATAATAATAATAAAGATGATGATGTCTTTGAAACTGATATCAAAGCATTACCTAAGTGATGGTAAATATAGTGGGGAATACGATCGAAGAGGAATACCATAATATTTCGGCTGTATGATTCTGAAGAGAGAAATTCTAGAAATATGGAATTAAGTGACAATTATGGAATTTGTGATAAGGAAATAGAGAGTTTTCTCAAGGCCTCTTTGGATAATAATTGGCGGAGCTTGATAATTTGTGCTATTACTGAAGTGGGAAGAGTTTGATCAAATTATATAAATGAGATTGGATTGGATCGTGCACTCTTTTTCCATCTGTCTGGTTCTTCACTAATAGAGGGCTTTAATGAGGCTTCTTAAAGAGTAGATCCTTTTAAAGAGTAATAGTTTTCTTACTTAATGTTTGTCTTTATTTTTTCGTGTTTTTATATTAGCCTTTGTAGCTGAATTCTAAAAAATTTCTTTATTTTCTATATATAATGTATGCTTTTTATCAACAAATTAGAATGGAGATTTGATATTGGGCGATTTGTGTAATTAGTGCCAATTTAGTTGAGATGTAATGAGTTTTTCTGATATCAACAATTCCGTATATTTACATGAAAATACAATATTTATTTAAATAAATAAACGTAGACGTACAATTACGACATAACTATTTGGAGCACAATAACATTAATGGGGTAGAAATTAGAAAAATATTTGAGTACCCCACAAACTAATAAAAGATAAGTCCAACTTATATATAGAGTTTTATGCTAGGGACAGTGATTGGTGTGGTCTTTAAAAGCACCGGCGCCTTATGATATTTTTCAAAAATTTGTATAAAATTGAACCATAAGAAACGACATAAACTGCATTCACTCAATTTAGTATGCATTATTATATCTATAAAAATTTCTTCTGTCGCTTATTGTTCTTAATTTGGGTTATTACATTTTCAGTCGTCTATATATATATATATACTCTCACTAGAAAATATGTAAATATTTCAGCCCAAAAAATGTAAATCAAAAAATTTTATAGAAGAGGGCATCCAAATATATGTGAGGAAATCGAGAAAAAATGGTTCAAAGTCAAAGATTTCAATTTGATTATCGAAAAGACTGAAGGAATCCAAGGATACAATTATGGTACGTAAACCCAAACTGCATTATATATGGACATATGTGGGACATGACATTCTCGTTATACTACAAGTGGGGATACTTATTATCAACCAAAGTTTTCGAAATTCTATTGATTCAGAAACTAATTCAGAAACATCTCTCGTATTCAGAGTAAATTATATACCCACTAATTAGGAGTATAAGCAAATTTTAATAGATATTAAGAAATTAACAAAAATACCTGAATTCATAAAAAAGGCGCCTGCTAGAAATCTTGAATTACTGAACTCATCTATATATATATATATATATATAATAGCAATATATGCATGTATAATATATGTAAAATAACTCTATACATAACATGATCATCACTATATTGGTCGATTTTCGAACATATATCTGAAACCACAATATATTCTTTAGCCTCAAGTCATCAACAAAGACAAACTTGGCAAATATTTGCTTAGACAATATAAAATAGACAGAAACTTTCCTGAAAAATGTACTACTGATGGCAACCACATCAATCAAAAGTAAAAATAAAATAAAATGGAATCAGTACGGACTTTTACCTCGTTGAGCTCTCGACGCCTTTTTGCCAAATTATTTAAACACTAATATTATATAAACCAAATTATACTAGTATTCCAATATTGAAATATATTCCAGCTCGATAGGTTGATGCGGCTCCATAAAATCATGACATGCTGAAGCTTATAATGCTAGCTTTGGATCAAGGGGCCTGCAGGTTAAAAATTTAGATATCAAGTTTGATTAATTTACAAATTAAAACCTTTTGTTTAATACAATTTATATAATATAAATTGTATTGCATAATCCGTACGTACATACGTATACCACATAGTATATTAATTGTAAATCTTGTATGGTGCATACAAAGAAAATACACATGCTGTAAAACCAATAGAATTAATAAATTAGAGTTGCCTAATCAACCACTCAAAATAGATTAAATGTACTTAATAAGAACACTCTCTTGATAATAACAATGTTAAATGTACGTTTGTATAGTATAATTGGGAAGTTAGTTTTTAGAAGCAAGAGAGAAGGATCAACTAATGTTAAGGATTTCTTGCATATCGCAATTACGTTGTCAACTACATAAAAATCTTGTCCTAAACTTAGATCCCCACTTGAAATTTATTAAAAATAAAGGAAAAAAAGAGTTCAGCCAGAAGGCAATTGAACCGGAAAAAAAATTGAAAACAATAGAGCTATAAATGGAAAAAGCATAAGAGATAATTAAAACCAAATGTTAAATAAGCTCTAAAGATTTACTTCTTGTGAAAGGAGGCCTCGTTAAAACCTTAGAGACGAAAAACCAGAAGAAATTCGCACAAAGGAAAAAGATCCGTGCATTATTTCTGAGCATAGAAATTAAAACATAAAGAAATAAATCAAAAACCTAAAACTCCAAAGAAGACTAGCAAAAACAGAAATAAGGTTGGCCTGCAGAGAGATTCGCGAGCGACTAAAGGGAATGAATCTATTTAGAATGTTGAACGACCACGAAGAATTCTGACTGTGAACAGTTATAGAAGCCAATTAATCGACAGTTTGATTGCAATCCTAAAATCATATGAGAAATTCTCACAGAATGAGAGAGCAATCCTTGCAAAGATCAACAGACTATTTGATCCGAAAACGCCAAAGCACCTGAAAACTTTGTGAGCGAACTAGCTAAAGAAAACATACATCAAATCACACTCAATTCAAAGAGTTTTTCAATCAAAGCGACAAGCATAATCCAATGCCAAAATGAAACCTCAAAATTCTGATTGTGTAAGGGAGAAGAATAGCATTTAACAAACTCTCGACAAGTACGAAAAATAGCACCACAACCAGTCGGACAAGGTAGTCCCTAATAAGAACCATCCGTGTTAACCTTAATCCACCAAGAAAGCGGGGGTAATTCCACTTAACTGGGATGATTTTAGGAGCTTCGCTAGGTTTTCTAGAGATACGAAAGTTATGTTACTTATAATATAAATATCGACGAGTATTCGTCACTCTACTAAGTTCAAAAGATTCGTCCCCTGATCGAAGTCTAAATAAAAAGATTTTGAAGAAATGACCGAGATTGAAAGGTTTTAAAGACTAACTAATTTCTAGCATGCCAAATCGGCGAGCAACAAGCTAGAGAAAAAATTTCAATCAGTTAAAGTTGCAGTCATTTAGTGAATTTGATGAAACTACATATATAATCGTATGAAAGAAAAATGTTATACCGCTTCTATCCTTTTTTAAAGATGGAAAGAAGAATGAAAGAAGATAGAAGAAATCCCAGAATTGATATGAATTAGTCCAATAAATATATAGTTCGTATCCGTTACGTAGGTAGATATCTTAATAGAGTGAGTATATTGAGATAAATCGAAAATAAATTAATGTTAAAAAGGATTATTTAGTCGTACTCAAGGGCATTTAACATTTATAGCAAGTAGACCCGCGTAATTAACACTGCTAGCTAATTAATTATCCTATATAGACCAATTAGAAAAAAGTCTGATGATTATCTCATTGCACCAAGGTTATCAATGATTTAATTATGAAAATATCACTAGTGAACCGGAACAATTAAAGAAATAACAAGAGACAGAATTTTTGAAATTAAAACATATATCTGTCGGAGCAAGGTAAAGATGATCCCAAAAAAAAAAAACCAAGAGAAAAAAATTGGCACCTATAATATCTCAATAGAATTAGAGAATTGACTAATAATTCTTCGTCTTATTGATGGCAGCCAGCAGATTTAAGCAATAGTTTGTTTTGCTACTGCCTTCTAAGGTCTTAAATCATAAGAATCATTTTATATAATAAGATTAAGAGAAAGATGTCTACAGTTGCAACTGTAAACAATTCTGTTTGTATATAAAACTTATAAGTACATGTGTATAAACAGTAACCTTTGAGTTTATGTCCGGTCATGAAAGGCACAGGATCTTGCAGAATCACGAGTAGAATTATTTGATTTTGCATGAGAGAGAGAGACAGAGAGAGAGAGAGATCTTTCCATTATTTACATTTTTCTAGTGGACCCATTATATATGATCACATAAATTGTATCAAATGTTTGTAAAAGATGTTCACATTAAAAAAAATAATTTTGTATTTAATTAATAGTACTTGTTATGATGAATACTAATAAAGTAGCTAACTACTATGGAAACTAGGGTTTTGAAGCCCTTCACCTAGGGTTTATTACCAAGGGAGTGACTAGCTAGATGCCCTACATATTTGTACATGATGCGCAAATAATCCATCATATTTCTTGTTCTAGCTAGAGTAGAGCGGCACTTAGATTTAATCGGATCAATAAAATTAATTAAGCTACAAAAGTATCTAATAATAATCCATTTATATTATATTAATATACTTCAGAAACACTTAATTATTAATTTTGTCATGTATACTGCCACTTCAAGAAGTATAATGCTACATTTAAGGTCTATGACTAGTACCCAAATCAAAAATAATTAAATTTACCTGTTTCTTTTTAGGGAAATTAAAGCCATATTTGAATCAAGATCACTGCATAGTAAAGCTTGAGCTGTGTTGATGATCATGATCATTAGACTTGTTAATCAGATTTCTCTTCTTCTTCTTCTTGGTATAAGGAATTCCTCTAGCCTTGGCCTGAGAATCCCTCACATCACGTAGATAAACTCTGATGGCGCCGCTGGCAAAGGGGTTCGTCTCCGGCAGGCCTCCGTTCTCCTCGTAGGCTGCTCGGAGGCGACCAATTAGGGCATCAAGGCTGCCCCAAGCCTGCCGGAGCGGGCAAGAGCACGGGCCCGGGGGCTCGGGCTGCCCGAAGAACACACACCCTTGTAAGTGCACCTTTGTCTTTCCAAACTGGTCCAAGTAGCGGAGGAAATCCAGCACGTGGTTGCCGTTGCACTGTGAGAGAGCAACTGGGGGCCTCTGGTTCCTCAAGTACTGCCCGAAGGTTTCCCACCCCCGCCGCTTCTGTGACTCGTAGCGGCTGAGTGGCGGCGGCTGCTGAGCAGTACTTGAAGCCGGTTGGGGTCTTGATGATGATGATGATCCGTCTGCTGCATCTTTCCCTTTGTTGCTGGACATCATGGATCACAATATTGGTACTATTGTTATGCTATGGAAATATATGGGGAAGAGAATAGAGCTAGAATATTTGCAGCAAGGAAAAAGAAAAAGAACTAAGGTAAAAAGGAGCACTCTACACTAGGGTATGTAAAGAGCACTCTACGTACCTATGGATATTGCACATTTTAACGTTAGATCTGATCAAAATCACATGAAAATAAAAAAAGTGTACAAAATTGACAATCTTAACGGCACTAACAGAGTCACACCTAATAAGGTATTTTCTTACTGCCTATAGTAGAATTCTCTCCCGGAAAAAAGAGGGGAAACAAAAAGATCACATCAACAACTGGGCAAGTGATGAGGAGACATGGTATATTGGTATGGGTCCTAGAAAAATGCTTTAGCGCTCTTTTTTTCTTCCCTCTCTCATATTATTTTCTTGCTTTAGTGGTACTAATTAGTATTACTTTATTCTTTTCTATATATTTATTATAGTGCTTCCATCATCAGTGCAATCATTACCGAGTATATTAGCGTAACTGATACTGATTGGTCATTCAAATCCAACTATATATATATATATATATATATATACGTGTGTATGTGTATTAGGGTCTCGTCAATATATGTGACTCGTGTGTGTGTGTGTTTTCTTTTTTCACTAACAGAGCTACAAGATCTCAACTGTTGATTGTGGCAGAACCCACAAACCAACGATCGAGATCTTACGTTTGTATCCCCTGCGAGTGCAATATTTAGCATTTTTATTTTTATTATATATGCGTAATATCTTCAGTGAAATTGATGTGTTTATTATAAATTTAACGAGATCAAATTTTATAAAAATCTAAAAACAACCCAACTAAATTAATATTCCACACCAGAGATTCAATGATCCTCAACTTTTCCTAGATAAATAAAAGAAAAAATACATTATGCCTTATGATGAAGACAAGTTTAGAAATGAATAGTGATCACTGATCATTATTGATTAACTCTAAATTTTACAAAACATAACATGATCAAAACGAGTAAATATTCCCATAAAAAACGGGTAAATATTAATTCCAGGCATTTTATATAAGATAAAAAAAAATTACCAACATTGACTAAAAAGAAAATATAGAGCAATTAACAATGTTAGTAACACAAGTTATAGTATTTTTTTTAACGGTAACGACATATATATATATATATATTTTTTTATTTATTTATTAAAGAGTCATTAAAAGGTGAGGATACGAGGAAACATAAAAACCAAATAAACGGGTCACTCAGATGATTAGACAATACAAACGCATTCTTATCAAAAAAACAAAGAGGACTCCTCCACAAAGTGACACTAGAACAATGTTTGGCCATGTAAAAACGACTCAAGATAAACCACATCCTAGTCCAACAATAGACCCATATCACACAGCTCAGTATTAGAGCGGTGGAGAAACCACCCTCTATCTGAGACAGATACCACAGACATAGATATTGGTGGCTTGAGATCAGCCTCTTGTTGAGACAAAATGTCGGTAGATGGAATAACCATCACCATTATTACAACACAAATATAAATAACAACCATAAAAACATTAAAACATTTATAAAGATCCCAAAAGATCAGTCTAACAAGATCGTGCCCCTCCACGACGGAAATATGCGATGACCGGTAAGAATGGCTACGAGAAAAGGCTCCCTCGCCTCCCTCTTTCAACCTAGATCATGTGGTTTCAGTGGGATCCCGCGGTGAATGCATCTTAAGTCTACGGTTTAAAAGCAACAGCCTCTTCTCCTTACACGGCTCCAAACCGGAAACTCTCCACACTTCCAACAACACGTTATGAGTATTGTGTCACTTTGATTTTTAAATTCTTTCTTTTTTTTTTCTGAAAAATTATTCTCTAGTCTTTGTTTTTTAAGCAGCTTTAATCCCCAATATTAAAATTGATGAATGACTTCTAAAATTTCACAGGAATAATTATATCCTAATTAATCATGCAGTTCCCTAAATTTTTAGACAAATAACTACAATAAATGCAAAATTTTTAGCATAACTAAAATTGTTAAAATTTATGTTATCATGTGTTGAGAACATAAATTATCTTTGTGAAGTTTCAAAAGCTATTCGGTAATTATTCTTTCTAATTTCATTCACAATTTTATGAATAAATTATCTATTACAAATTAACTCTTTATAGAGTGACTAAATCAGAAATACATTGTTCTATGAATAATAGGAGAAATGAATATAACCGAAAAGAAGATAGAATTCAATCCATCTAGATCTAGTCAGCTATGCATCATTGCTATCTGGACTTTCTCTATTTACGCATAAAACGCAAAAATAATAATAATAATAATAATAAATTAAAAAAATTAAAAAATTAAAAAATTAAAAAAGTGAGAGATGCATGCTTTGAATTATACACCCTTCCCTAGACTAATGATCAACAATATGCTGGACCTGAAAGAACAATATGCTTGACTTTCGAGTGTAACATCGGATTAATGTCACTTGTTTCCACATGTATATCACACATATTATCATGAATAATACACAAAACGTGTTTTCCAGTTATTCTTGGGGTCATGTTGGCCTTTTACTTAAATATTTATTTCTTTTTTTAAGGTTGATTTTCTTTATACTCTTTTGTAATTTCTTATATTTAATAATATGGAGTGGGGAGTTTGATGCGCAAGGTGAGGATTAGTCATAAGTGAGAGTGCCAATCTAATTAGAATATTTCTTCTGATGGAGTCAGAGATTTATTTAAGGGGCTCGAATAAATCTAAAATTACCTTGCAACAAATTTTTACCTTCATTTTTTAATTTTTAATGAATTAAACTTATGAAACTTATCCAAAAACTGATAATATTGTATATAATAGTATAATACTTGAGATTTTAAGTTTTAAATAAGAATTTAAAAACAAAACTTAAGGTATAATTGATTTTTTTTTTTTTTTTAAAAAAACAGCTTACGTAAATAAGAGAGAGGGAAAATTTATAGCACTGCTTCTGAATTATAAAAAGAACCCTTCGGTCTAGGGTGTAGGTACCTCCTTAGACTCAAGGCAATTCCGCTCTTGGATGTTATAAACTTAAATATGCTGTCTAATTTTAGTGTCTAATTAATTAAATCATGTCATGTCATGTAAAAAGTTTAGATTACTTTATAATGTGTTTAGCATGATATGGTGTGATATGATTTAATTGGTTAAACACCAATTAAGACACAAAAAATTAGACAGTAGATTTAAATCCGGATGTTATAGCCTTCTCTCATGTCAGTTGTTCACTCTTATTGTTTATCCAAAATATCATTAATAGTAGATTTATAATTATGGATAGATTTAAGCATAAACTCATTCTAATTAGATTAACACCTAGGTTAAACAATTCAAACGGATGCCCCCACTTTAAAGATAAAAAGAAGAGACGAAAGAAAAATACAGTACGAAATTACAAACCCAACAGAGAGTGCAAACGAAAATATATAGATATAACGCATCCTTGACAAAAGCTTATTCCCTTTACTATCCGTCACCATAACAAAACAATCTATATTATTAATAATAGGAAATTAGCCTAGGTAGACGCTCCAATATGGAAATATCACCAATGTTTATGTGATACTAAACATGACATATGTGTAAATAGTGATGTTTTTGTTGTTTCCCTATCATTTTTCCTTTATATTTATTTTCTGACTTTTGGAGTTTCGTCAAGAAATCAATGTGGGCCATAATAGGATATCAAATATATACCTTTCGATCAGCTGTTTCCCATATTATAACTTTCTTAATTATTATTAGCCTGTCAATTTTCCTTTATTTCGAGTTTATGTTCATCATATTCCTGGAGCATTGGCTTTCGTTTTCTCGAAGATCTATCGATCTTAAAGATAAAGGACCCACACTGGCCAGAACTTCTCACAATAATTCCTTAGGTAAAATTCTCCCATCAGCTGCTTATGTCAAAATATGAGAAGTTAGTCAAGGTTATTGGAGGAAGGGGTGACGTACTATTTAGGCCTCGTTCGCTTCGTAGATTTGAGTTTTCAATTCGAACTGAGATGTGATATTTTCTTAAAACTTTTAACTGTAGCAGAAAAAATTAGATGTGACATTTTCTGAGAGATTTTAATCGTAGAAACTTAAAACTAATAACTTAAATCAATGAAATGAACGAGACCTTAAAATGGTATTCATTCCGAGTCGAGATGATTCGGAATCAGAGGGAGTGTGGGTCCTATGTGTTGAGGTTGTGGGACCCTCCATTTTAAACCCAAGTCAAGAGGAAAAGAAGTGTGTCCCTATAGCATGTATTAGAAATGCATGTGAAATTATTACACATTTTTTTTATGATGTAAGTTTTCTTTAACTTAATTATTAGATTATTATCGCCGATACTCATTGAATTTTAAGGTCATTTTCAGTTTATCTCTTGAGTTTTAAAAATCTGACTTTGCCTCCTAAACTTTAAAAACAAATAGAAAAAAAAAGAGTAATGCAGTTATGTAGTCTTTCTGTTTAAATTTTTATTACAAACAAACATATAAAAATCATATGATTACACTTACCCTCCATCTTTTTCCGTCTGATTTTAACTGAAATTCTTATAAAATGGTTTAAATGGGATAAATTCAAAGTTTAAGGAGCAAAGTGAGAGTTTTCAAAGTTTATAAGACAAAGTGAGACAAAGTGAGAATGACCTCAAAGTTTAGAGGATACTTGTGAGATTAACCTTTGAAACCACTCATAATCTTGTTTAAGAATAGATAGACTATTAATAGAAGGATAAAAAAATGTATATTTTAAAATATCAGGATAGTTAGACCTTGAGAAAGTGAATGTTGGAGGACTTAAATGAGGCAAAAGTTTATCCTCGAACTCATTGGTGAAAATAATCCTAGCTTTTAATTCGCTTTATCTTTTGTTTATTTTGTTTTCTTTCGTGCTCTTCTGAGTTGTTTCATTTTCGTTTCAAAATATATTTAGAGTGAAGAATTTAAGCCTCGTTCAGTTCGTCGATTTGAGTTTTTAATTCGAGTTGATATATGACTTTATGTGAGAGTTTTTAACTATAGCTGAAAAAATTAGATGTGACTTTATGTGAGAGTTTTTAACTATAGTAAAACTGGAATTAAAAACT